ATGTAAGCGGGCGAGAGTTCTGATGAAATGGAGCTGACCAGATTGATAGTTTTACAGTATGCAATTTATTAGTACGGAGACCTGACCAGAAAGATTGCCATCGGTTATACAAGGTCTTAAAGTGGGGGTAATAATCCGTGGCTTGGTTACGTGATAAACGTGGTTGGTATGATGTGGACATAGCGGCATAGCGTGCTAGAATACCTGACTGTTCATTGCCGGGGATTCCAACATGACTGGGCACCCAACAAAATTTGATTGTTTTATGGCATGCAGACAGGTAGAACAACCAGTTCTGAATCTTACAAACAAGGGGGTGGTCGAGTATATTGACTTTATGAGAAAATTGTGAGAGGATGAGGGAAGTGTGTGTTTTAAGGCAAAAAGGAGTGCATGCAGTTCTGTAGTAAGGACACTGGATTCAGGAGGGAGGGGGTATTTTAAAGTACGAGTTGGGAAGATTAATGCAAATCCAGCACCAGAGGTGGATTTGGAGCCATCAGTGTAAACATGAATACTGGAGGAATGAATGGACACATGGTCGAAGAAATGATATAAAGTATAAGCCATGGAGGGGCAGAATGGGAGAGGGAGATGGGGAAAAGGGGATTATGAAGGTATCCATGCAAGTGGAGAAAGTAGGTAAACGTAGAGAAGCAAAGGTAGGAAGTCGGGATCGTGGGAGTTAGTTTAGAGAAGGGGAAGTTGGTGGAATCGAGCATAACATCGGAGAGAGAAAAGTACGACGTCGAGAAATGGTAAGCCTGATTCAGTGTACAGGCTCTCAACTGGAGAGGAGCGGAAGGCACCTAGGGTTAAGCAAAGATCACAGTGATGGACTGCCTCAACTTCCTTCCTTGCCCATCTTGATAGAGTAGATATGGCATCCATAATCAAGAGTGGAGAGGATCAAAGTAACATGAAGATGGAGAGTTTTGCGACCTGAGCACCAGGATATATGTGATAGAGTATGTAAGATTCGGAAGCGGTGGCGAGTTTTTTCTTTAATGTAAAGGATATGGTCTCGCTAGGACGGTATTGAAATGAAGTAAAAAATAATGCCTAGGAATTTGCCAAACTGATCCACTGGAGTGCCATATAAGAGTGGAGGTTGGGGACTTACACATGTGCGAGGGAAAAGGATGGAAAAAGATTTGTAGATAGAAAACCGAAAGCCATGGTTTGTGGTCCAGGTAGATACTGATGATATTGCAGACTGGAGAAATTGGCATATCAGGTGTGCCAGAGCATAGATGGTTAAATCATCAACATATAGTGATGACCGGGCTCCTGGTGGTAGAGCTGAGACAATGGTATTAACAGCAAAAAGGAAGTACTGAGCACACTGCCTTGTGGGACACCTTCGATTTGAGGAAAGGATGATGTGGCAGAGGCAATTTTAACCTGGAAAGTGTGTTGGGAGAGGAAAAACTTTATAAAGATACCCATGTTTCCGTGTATGCCTAGAGAGGACAAATGTTGGAGAATACGTACCGCCATGTAGTATCACATGCTTTTTCTAGGTCAAAGAATATAGCTAGTATGGATTCATGGCGTGCAAATGTAGATTTAATGTCTCAAAATGAGCAAGTGGGTCAGCTGTGCTTCGGGCAGGAAGGAGAGAGATGATTGAGAGATTCAAGATACCATTTTAAGCGAAAGTTAACCATTCACTCTAGTAGTTTGCACAAGCAGCTAATTAGTGCAATGGGGCGATAGTCTTGAGGGAGGTTACCCGATTTATTAGGTTTCAGGAAGGGGAGGATAAGAGCTCACCAAGGAAAAGGAAAGTTACCTGATGTCCATATGTGGTTGAACGGGAGTTGGTGAAAGAATCACTCCAAAGAGTGTTGCGGCACTTATAATCAACTATGAGGAATGGTGGTCATTGCTTTTGAAAATCCAATTTCCCAAGTCCAGAGTAAATGGGGTGGGAAGGGGAGTAGACTGATATCACTGTGATCCATCAACAAAGAAAAATGCGAATAACTATGCAAGGGAGTGGTTTGAAAAGGAGGTATGACATAAGGTGTTTTTTGATTGATAGAGTATAGACGAGACAAAGGGAGGGTGAGGAAGAGAGAAAATGCTAATTGGGAATAGGTATAGGACGTATAAGAGAAGTATTTTGAAGATATATAATGGATCGATTATAGGAGGAAAGGATGTGACAAAGCTCGGGTCTGTGAGAACGGAAACCGCGAATATTGCAAAGAAGGATAGTTATCACTCATAAATCAACGAAAGTATAACACAGTATGTGTCGAGTTTAAAAGGGAAGGAGCTAGAGGGTGGGATAAGGAATAAGAGGTGGGGGTGTTGCTGCATCAGGAGGAATATTGGGAAGTGGAGGGTCTGGGGAAGGTGATAGTTGTGATATAAGGGATTCACGAATCCAAGAGGGAGTGGAAGGGATAGAAGGGATGGAGGGAGGGTTAATGTAGGTGGAGCTGGAGCAGGGGGGGATGGGTTGTGTTGGGAATGGGTAGGAGGAAAGGGTGTAGGGGGGGTATGAATAGGATGGATAGATATCGGCAGTCACTTTGAGTGTGGAGGGAGCAGTTGTGGAATTTGAAGGTGGACGAATGGTTTCAGTGTCAGGTTGAGACTCGAATATAGATATACATATACATATATATATATATATATATATATATATATATATATATATATATGTATATATAAAATATGTATAGTATATATATATGTTTGTGTATATATAAATAAATAAATATATATATATACATATATATATATATATATATATATATATATATATATATATATATATATATATGTATATATATATATATATATATATATATATATATATATATACATATATATATATATATATATATATATATATATATATATATATATATATATGTATATATATAATATGTATATAGTATATATATATATATATGTTTGTGTATGTATAAATAAATATATATATATATATACATATATATATATATATATATATATATATATATATATATATATATATATATATATATATATGAATATTAAGAAAAATTGTATTAGCAATAATCAGAACAAAGATAATAATAAAAATAATAACAATTATATTACCCAAATCCCTTTTTGAATATACCATTGCAGTGGAATTTTTTTTTGATAGGTGGCCTACTTGAGGGGAATAACTAATTGATTTTGGTCAATACGATCTATTCTTTTATAATATTTATGGGAATTGGAGATTAATTAATTCTCCTAAACAAAAGACACGTCGAGAGATCCTCGGTCGTCCACTTCCCGGAAGTCAATAACGACCTTATCAAGGACAAGAAAAAGGAGAGGGATAGGTAGGTGCTTTGTGCTGATTTTGAGCTGGTGTCATCGCTGATATCCTTCCAATGAGGCGGTAATAATTGTATAGGTAGATATAATCGTTATTTTACATTTACATATACAGAGTGGAAGAGAGCTTGGAGTAGGATAAGGCATACCTAGCAACCTGCAATGACACCCTAGGTGCCAGAAGAATAAACCACTAAAGGTCACTTGAAGGAGCCTATATATGATCCTTGACTAACTTGACCACTAAACTATCTCACAAATTCCAGTAAGCCTTAAAACACCTGCTTATAGTGGAACATAGCTTTGGTGAATGTGCTGCACTCTGTTGTAGAAGCGAGAATATAAAATTGCTTTGTTCTCATTATGATTCTTACATAAATTGTTACTACTTCTTAATGCATACTGACTCATATAAACACGTGGAGTACTGCATCATTCCAACATTTATATTTATATCTATCTATCTATCTATATATATATACATATATATATGATTTTTTTGTTTTATTTTTCAGCAAAGTAAGTGTACATTTTATAGTATTTCCTCTTCCCTACTATTTAAGATATACTGTGCTTTTTGTACTCCCTTAAGCCCTCTCTCTCCAATTGAGGAAATTTGCACAGTAGATTTATGTCTAAAAAGAAAATTGTATTACTGATTTCCTTGGTTCTTGTTCTTATTATAAGTAGGGAAATAATGACGAACCACATTATCTGCAAAGCTTAATTCTACGAACAAGCTAGGAAAAAGAAATGTATACGCCAGAGAATAAGACCATAAAGAAAAGTTTGGTTGTAGATATGAGATTAGTACTTATATTCAGGAATTATTCATAATGTTTAAATTATTCTAATACTCATCAGCTTAGGAACGATAAACATATATAAATATATATTAGAACAATTATAGGAAAACAATAATGATGAATAACCATGATGGATGCAAACCAAGTAGGTTATAATAACAGGCGACATAAGGTGTGTCCTCAGCCCCTGCTTATGGCGATGATCCTCTCCATCTTGCATAATTCTATCTCCCTTTTCCTGTTCTCATCTGCACCTTTTGCATCCTTATGCAGCTTCCTGAGGTTAGGCGAGAGCTTGAATGCCACGAGGTAACCCCTGTAGGAAAAAAAGCCGGCAATAAGGCAGAACTTTTATGACTATGTGTGATTTGCTTCCCTCTTGTATATTTTTGACAAATTGATTAAAATGCTCTAGTCCATGTAGGCAAAAATGTGATTTTCGTATATGAGTATGATAGTGCTAAAACAAGGGCGTCATTTGGCAGGGGAGGGGTTACCCCCTTCAAGGTCTGGCTTGCCCTCAAGTCCAAATTGCACTTTTATAGCTCTTTTTCTTGAATAGTTATTAAAAAAAGAAAAAAAGAGAAGAAAAAAAATCGGGTGGTTTACTTCGCTTGCCAAACCCCCCCCCCCCCCCCAGAAAAAGCTGAAATGACTCCCTAGCTGCTAACAAGGATTTTATCTGCGTTCTTACGTAGCCTTTTCCCATAAAGAAAAAAAAGATTGATATTACTAATGCACCACGGGGACTTTTTTTTCATAAAAATTCCATGACTTACTTCTCTCCACCCACCAGTATAACGGGCTGGTAAGGACTGAAGGCCACGGAGGCTAAGCTGAAACGACGTCTCTGGACCAGGTTTTGAACGCACAAAGGGTGACACTTGCGAAGGAAAAGGTCGTATACATAGACCCGTCCTTCCTCAGTAACAGCCACTATCACTGTGCTACTGGAAGGGGACCATGCCAGCCCCACAACAGGTCCTCCTAGGTCTAATGTTACAATAGGGGACCTGAGAATAGATTTTTGTCATAATTGAGCTAATTGGACATTATTACAGTAAAAAAGTAATCGTAATGCAATAATGACAAAGACAATTATTAGGATAATGATAATGATAGCGATAATTATGATGACAGTGATAATAAATAATCACCATATCAATGAATAAACAATCATCAGGGTAATAGAGAGGAAATATATACTTGTAATATATGACTTTTTGTGAAGTGGAAGGATAAAACCTTAAATAAAAATCTTGTATCGGCAACAAAAAAATTTACTTACAGGTGATATTGCAGCCACATTTTGACATTCCAGTCTAAAGAACAGCTGGCGAAAACTTTTTTATGAATGTTGTTCCATGTGACGGCGGTTACGGGTCCAAGATGGGCGGGATAGCGAATGACAGAGTGCTTAGTTTTGGATGTACATACTTGGAATAACGCCCCTGTATCTACACCCAGAAGTAGTATGTCGTCCCTCTCTGGGCTAATCGCTATACATGTAGCGGTACCTGACGGGATGGAATTAGTGAATACGCTTGCATGCTTAATTACTAATAATGCATAGCGACTCGTAGTCTTGAGTTCTGACCATAACGAGGGGAAATTTAATGTCATCTGTAGGCCAATAAATGGTACTATCCTTAGTGTACACCAGTACATGAATACTGGCATGTGTCAGTGTATATCATAATAAACTAAATCCAAATCATAACTGTAACACACTAATCAAGCTTACCTTCAAGACTGACCTTACTCGAGGAAGCTTTTCTGGTGGGCCTCTTGGTTGTGTGGAAATCCAGAATGTCTGTGCATTTAAGCCATGGTGAGTGAACAAACCATTGGGACACTCGACCATCTTGGGATACCGAATAGAAACTTGGATTTTGCCCTGGTTCGGTGTCCAAGCAGCAGACCTAAAAAGATTCGAAATTTACTAATCATGCTCAGAGGCAGTCTATTCCTGTTCTTGCCATATTCAGTCATACAGTCACGCACGCACACATCCTCTCCCACACACTGACTTAAAACCCAGTATCAGCGTTTTGAATATTCAAACATTTCAATCTAACAAGGTGTTGACGCGGTAGATAATTTAAAATAATCAAAACACACACACACACACACAAAGTCTTTAATGGCCACACGTAAAATCAGGTTCAAGAAAAATGCCCTATTCTGTTATTCTTATAAGCAAATAACTTTTACTTAAAACATTTTTCTGTACATCTCAATTTTCATGTTCTAAGACTCTACAGTATTGCTGAGCTGTCACGTTTGTGTAGAGTGCCATATGACTAACAATTTCAGGTATAAGGAACTGAGAAAAGTATTAATGAGGCACTTGGGGATGATTCGGCTAGGTAAATTCATCCTCTAGTGGTTGGAGATTATTTATGTACCTCTTCCTTTTCGTGAGCGATTCATTAGGAAACACAGGCCCAGGTTGAAGTACAACTTTATTTCCTGTACGTTTTCTACGTTTTTTGGTACATGATTTATGTGGCTGCTAAGTAGGAGTACTTGTTTCTTCATGGGCACGTATAAATAAGTCATCTTCATCCGAGCCACCATTGCCAAGTACATTAGACCTACAGTCTCAGGAGAGAAATATGGATCAGCCACAAGGCCATCATCAGTTCTCAGCATTAGCTGGTACAACCAGCTGTAATTCCCTGTGTCTGGTCCCACAGGATATTCTTTAATTCATTCTTCTTCCTCTGTGAATGAAAAAATATCACTCGGGAGACATATGTAGCGGTCCACAAGGACCTACTTGAGCCACAAACCGTCTCAGATAAATACTAGAGTATATATGGGAAACGACAGCCATAATTCGCGAGGATCAAATTGAACCACTAGTCATTTCAGAGAAAGAAAGGTATGTAACAATAAGAAAACATGGAGTAATATGCATCATGTACTAATCACTAGTCATGGCTGGCAAAATCGCTGGCGAAATGTTTGCGGGCAAGCCTATACGTTAATACCGCGAATTGACTGTGATTACACATTTTTTGTGTGCCGACACTACGACAACTGACAAACCCTATTAATAAAAGGTTGTTGTGTCCTTTGTTCTGCGTAGATGAGTAATTGTGTGTATAAGTGTGAGTGTGAGCGAGAGTGATAGTGAGCATGATTGAAAGTGAATTCGCAAAGAATTAATAAAAAATATGAAGATATACGTTTATTTTAACAATAATGCGATATATATATATATATATATATATATATATATATATATATGTATATATATATATATATATATATATATATATATATATATATATATGCGTATATATATATGCATATATATATATATATATGTATATATATATATATATATATATATATATATATATATATATATATATATATGTATATACATATATACACACACATATACACACACATGTATGCATGTGTGTGTGTATGTGTGCATGTATATCTATTTTCTTACCTATCTCTATTTATCTGTCAGCCTGAATAATCTCTTCATTGATCTCCATTTGACTTTCGCATAAAGCGCAGATTAAATGGCTTGTGTGTAAATTATAATCGCTTAATTGGTGTACAGTACACAAAAAAATCCATCGTGTGATGATCTCTTTATTCAACGATGCGGGGTTCACATCACATAACATATAAAACCAATCCAGACGGAATTTCAGTAGAAAGGGAGGACGGCAGCTTTAAAATCAAAATGAATTTAGGATAATGAAATCCAAGAGGATTTGAAAGCATCTTTGTAAAGAACTTTTTTGATTATTGTACTAATAGGACGGCAAACTTTTGCCATTTAGAAATTAGCAAAGGGGACTCCGACCTGCATAACAGGGAGGAGGTGCTTGCCGGAGGTCGTGGAGGAGGAGAGCCGACCGGGAGACGCAGCGGCGTCGTACACCGTCACGGTCCCGTCGCAGTGACCCGCAACTACCACGCTCTCACGCTGAAGGAAAAGTAACACGAAAACTGTATGGACACGCGATTTAGACTTTTCATGCATACAAATATTCTTTCATACATTCTTAAAAATAATGCACATATACGGGTGCATGAGTGATAGGGAATCACGCACTCACAGAAGGGTGGAATTGGACTGACGTGACGCCTTGGGGAGTAACCAGCATTCTCTCGGGAATACCAGGGTTCTTCAGGGTGAACAGGCAGATTCTCCCTTCATTCTCTAAAGCACAGAGCTTGTCTAAATTAACAGAAATATATTAGTACGGATCTTCTCACTCCTACTCTATGATAATTTTCTTAACAAAACCGTCAACTAATATACCGTGTTTATATATATGTATTTGTGTTTATGCTTAATTTTCCTTTGATCTCCTTTTCCTACGTGCCGTACCTGGTGTATAAGAAGCCACAAAGAGATCATGGTGGGCGGGACTCCATGAGAGTGACGAGACCACTTGAGACCGGGATTTATTACAGTGGAACTTCCATAGTGGCAAAAGAGACCCTTCCAGCTGACGGTACTCATCGCTTGCGTCTTCCCAATATCGGAAATCTAGTTCAGGAAAATTCAAAGATCAGGGTAAGAAGGGTCAAATAATTATACTAAGAAAATAAAGATCATAAAATCAACACTGTCGAAATAAGAGAATCCAACACAGTACTGAAAGGAAAGAGAAAGGGATAAATAACTACATTGGGAAAAAAAGAAAAGAAATTTGCGAAAACTAGATATTGACAAATTAATGCTTTATTCTTCGTGTGCTCACCTTGATTGATTTCGTCATGAGTATTTTGGTTTAGGATCCTTTCTACCATCTTGACAGTGTTGGGGTCAAAGTCTAGCTCTACCCCGCCTAAGGTGCACTTTGAGGGTGCTGGGGGCAGGGGGATGGTGATAGGATTGGTGAGCCGACTCATAACTTTTGGATTAATCTGGGTGGAAAAAATAAAACAATTTCAATTTTCTCGTCTATTTTTCGAATTATTTCGAATACGTGAAAAGAGATAAGATAGGAAAGACAGTATCAATTTTCAACTTCGAATTGCCACATTGTTTTGATAAGAGGTATAATCATCACTTTCATAATCAGTACCATGAGTGGTACTGTTTATGGTAGTAGTACTAATAGGAGTGTTAAAAAAGTAGTGAGCATTACTGTATAGTATTATGTAGTGTTATTATGTGTAGCGAGGGTAGTTAGAAGCAAGAACAGTAGTAGTAATAAAAACGAAATAACAACAATTGCTGTAGTAGGTAGAGGAGCAAATACTGAATAGGGATAAGTAAATTAGTTAATGAGTATATTAACAAATTAATGCATCTTAGATTATCATATCTTCCTAATTGTGACTGTGACTGATGTTTCCTTGATTAAAAAATATGAATACAAGTAAGTCTTATCAGACCTCCGCTAATGACCTTAACTGTTGACGTGGCAGATAATTTTAAATAAAATAATCTTATCAGACCTCGCATACTCACGGAAAAAAGTCGTCTTTATGGTTTGTTATGCATATAATAACATACTTGAGTTTTTTAATGACTAAGACTGAACAATAAACAAAATATGAGGAATATCTTCAAACTACAAAGAAGCATAAAGGTAACTTACATACAGTGTTTAAATTCATCAGTGGAATATAGCGGGGCAAAACGAAATATAGCAAGAAGCACATGCAACTCAAGTTAGAGAGAAAGTGTAATGAAAAAGGAAAGCCCTGACTGTCGTTCTGAAACAGCTTTATGCTGACAAATGGTAATATTTAAAAATATTTTTGAAACTTAATTATCAAAAATCCTATTTTAAAATGATATGAAAATCATAGCCTGCAAAGCTGGAGTTGAGTGTCAAACTGAACTAAGCACCGTTCTGGTATTTCGTCGATTTTTCTTTCTTCTTAGGGTGTACAGGTAGATTTTTTTTTTTAATTTCAAACAAATAAAGATTTTTAAACATATTTTTACGTTAATTTTTTTATTTTATTCCTCTGTTGATCCATACAATCAAACAGCTTATCCCTTTTTTGCTTGTTGTTTTTAATCTATCCAATTTTTCCTATTCAAAAATACTCACCGATTTTCTGGATATTTCTTTTTGCTTTTCTTCCTCTCTCTCCTCCCTCTCGACCTCCCTTTGTTTGGCCAGGACTAACGTGTGGTCTTTTTCATAAGCATCGTAGATCTTCCTGAAGCTAGCGGTATCAGAATAGGTGTTGCCTGGGGGAGGGTCAGTCTGCGTCAAGACTGACTAAGTTAAGTGTAAGGAAAATAATTATATATAGATTTATATAGTTCCATAGAAATAACAAATACTGGCAAAATATTAACTTGTAAACCTTCACAATAACTAAAATAACATTATATTTGGAAATCTGTTCAACGAATCATGCAGATCCTGTTGAATAACAAGATCTTAGTTTAGTAATATATCGACTTGTGCATTATACTCACCTTGCAAGGTGTCCAAGCAGTCTGGCTAACTCTCTCACTGAAGTTAAAAGGGTTTGGTTGTGAATCTAATTTGGCGAGCTGTTCTGTTGACATTACGTTACCATAAACCTCTTTCATATCTTCACTAATGTCCCATTCAATATCTACTCTTTCCATTCCTTCGGGATCTGTTGCGTTAATAGTTGGAATTAGTGATTGATTTTAAATTATCTAGTTATATGAACAGGGTAAACCTTCATTACAAACAATTCTATCAAAATTAGAATATTCGTGAGCTATTTACTAGGCCTATAAGTCGGTTGCTCCAGAGGGGCTTTTGTAAGGAAAATTTGCATAACGAAATATTTTGCATTATAGCTGTAACTAATGAAATATAACATTCTAAGAAAGTATGTGCACTTAATGCATGGATATGTGTGTTTATGCGTAAGAGTATTAAACACTCATACCTTTTTCAGCATTTGTCTCCTTCCTCACAATGTCATGTTCTTGAAACTGGGCCGTCTCCTTGTGAACGACCCTTGTCGGCAAAGTCAGAAGATCAATTGCCAACGTCTGTCGGGTCACACGGACGTAGCGTCCTTCCCTGAATAAGAAGCACACTTCATTCCTGGGATGGATTCCTTCAGAGCTCAATCTTATTTCGACTTCTGGCTCTTTTCCTTTCTGCAGCGAGGATGATAGAGGCTTAGATATGTTAATCATTATAATATAGAATCGTTGGTATGACACTCCTAATCGTATCATTATTGTTTTTTTTTTACCTTTTTACCCTAGCGCAGAGGTTACACATATTGGTATGGTAGCTCGACCAGCAGGAACTTGCCATATGAACTTACCATCGAACGAAGACTATAGGTCGCAGTAGCAGAAACAAATAGTAATTTCTGTTCAGAAATACTCTTAACTTGCCACTCCCCTCTTGACAGAGGATTGTGGGAATCGATTCCAAGTCTGCCCTAATTGTTCTTATATTTTGCTGGTTAAATAATATAAACAGATAAAAGTAGAATTAAAATTGCATTTGGCCCTGACATATTTAGACCAAGTAATATTTCTATCATTAACACCTGGAGATTATATAGTGTCTCTTTAGGGTGGGCCAGCAGCTGCTTCCCAGAGTTAATTGTCATGAAATAACGTATATATTAACCGAAATGGCCATGAACTTTAATCGACAGATGCGTGGGCTTTTGAGCACTGTGAAGTTAAGTACGAATAGGCAATCACAGTCGTGGTACTCACAAAATACAAGGTAGGCATGAACAGGCAAAGGACTATTGGAATTAAAAAACAAAAGATTTACATACGCACACTAGCTCCCTTTGGAAAACATCATACTTTTTTAATGTTTATAGTAATTCTTAGCAGAATCTTTCATCATCGTAAATTTGCTAATAAATGCTGTTTTTCTTTCCGTATGATTTTAATGATGCTACATATAAGATATCGAAAATATATATATATATACTTACAAATATATATATATGCGTGTGTGTGTGTGTGTGTGTGTGTGTGTGTGAGAGAGAGAGAGAGAGAGAGAGAGAGAGAGAGAGAGAGAGAGAGAGAGAGCTACTGGATTTTCGAGTGCTGTGAACTGTGGCGACCTCCGGGCACACTCCTCCTTCTTCAGTCTGTCTAAGTGAAACACCATGGAGTGACGGGGAGTTTTAAAGTGGACCCTTAAGGTAGCCACATCCAGTCTATGGTCAGTGCCACAGAATTCGGCACACCAGTAAACTCTACTGTTCTGGAGGATCCTCCAGCGAGTGCTGATAAGAATGTAGTCGATCTCCTTAACCACAGTCTCTATATAGCTATACCATGTCCAGCGATGCGGGTTGGAGAGTTGATACCAGAAGCCAGAAATACTCAGTCTCTGGGACCTAGCAAAGTTCCGGAGGACCTAGTTTCGCAACTGAGATCAGCTCCTGAGCCAT